AGCTGGGGCACTCGTTGTGTCTTACTGTGCTGTGTGGAGCAGCTCCGCAGTATGTGTGGGGGATATTACTCACCACCCCACTGCTGCAGTTTCATCTCAGATACCTACTCCTAAATATATACCAGGTACATGGGACGAGACCCAGCACTGCATCAAATATTTGGCACGCTGTCTCAAATTACCTTTGACACACAGGGTTATTTATACATCATGGCACACTGCATGCCTCTGTGACAAGATAGCATCACATCATACCGTATGTCAGGAATGCAGGCAACAGATTTAAGCCAATCCCTGCTTCAAGACATTTTTACTAGGAAGGCCGTCACAAACTGAGTAATATCCGTTTTATACTCTGAAAAACGTACGCTATTCTTTTCCAGGAAATAAAGTCAACCACCCTAGTCCCTCCCCCCTCTTATATACATCCCCATCAGAACAACAGAAAGATGTTTCTTCCGTCTTAATAGGCTCGTTATTGGGACATACTGAGTCCTTTACACAAGTCCTAATGCATTTGCTAGGACACCTAATGTTGACTTGTTGCAAGGGCAATGTTTCGAAGAGTAATTACAGCAAGAGGTATTTGGTTACACATGCTGACTATTGGCTTTGAACATGCACCAATAGTTCATATTTACGGAGCTTGATTCCAAGCCTTAAACATGTGCACATTTCTGATATTCATTCAACCACATTAATGTTCTGAATACAAATACCAGAGAAGTGTCGAAGTGTCATCTGTTTTTTTGTGTTTTTTTTTTTTTTTTTTTTTTTTTTTTTTTTTAATCCATAGATTGAAATGGAAGGAGCCTACATTTTGCATTCATCTTATGAAGCAACACCATGAAATCTGAAAAATGGCTCCATAATTCAGTATCTGCTATCCCTACAGCTGTGCAATTATCTAAACAATTTTCTGAAATGATAGCAATAAAGCACATGTGACAACCACAGGAATTCGTAGCACTCTCTGGAAAGGGAAAACCTAACACTGAGAGAAGGCCATGAGTTTGGATTTGAGAGAACTCATTCACATATATTCACAAATCTTCTCCTAGTCTGTTCAGACTGCAACTTAAAATTATTCTCCATCTCAGCACAAGGTGACACAGCATGAAGAAAATCCATAATAAAAAGCCTGACAACAAGCACATAGAATAAATACAATAAATGACCCTCTACAAAAGGAAGCCGATACCATGAGCAAGCAGAAAACAAAAACTACCTACTATCTTGTAAAGTTAATTAAGGGTAATGTTTAACAAGAGGAGCTTTTTTTTCAGCTGGAAAGAGTGGCAGCAGAAAAGACTGCATTACACAGCATGATGAACTTCTCTCTTGCATTTAGCAACTGCCTTCAGAGACCACATTTGTTTCTCTAAATCCATCTGTGCTGATCCCTGTGCACAAAGGTCTAAACGACAAAGCTATCGCACATCGCTACCACTGCTAACAGATGGGACTCACCTCAGCCAGTAACATGGATTACAGTTATTGCAATATACTCAATCATTTAGATACAATAAGAATTTCACTATCTGCCAAACACAAGTCTTCTCAAAGATAGGGGAGAAAACAAGCTTCTCCTGCTCCAGCTTTTGTTATTAATATTATTTTTGAATGGTTAATGATTTGTAGCTGGACTCCTTCATTTGAATTTGAAGATGGTGGATTACAAAGGAACATCTTGGAAGATCTAAAAACCTTCTAACTGGCTACTGGAATTGACTATTCAAGTAAGACAACAGCAAAATATGTTATCTAAACTAAGGAGCATTTTGATGCACTCAGTCTTTCAAAAGTAACACAATACTTAAAAACAACCCTCTCTCTTCTGCACATTTTATGGATATGTGATACAATTATAGTAAGACTATTTAAAGTTAGTTAAAAACATACCCTTGTATTCCCAACAAAAACAAAAAATCACATGGCTTTGGAAATTCTATTTTGATGCTTGGCTATGTCAGTCACACAGGATAAACTGTAACACTCCCCCAGTCATTACTGCAGTCTACACAGGCAATAAGCTGCAAGCTTAAAAGGTCTGAGAAGGGTTTATCATGGACTAACAGATCTGAAGAACCTGCTTTTTAAGAAGCCAAAACCCTGTAACACACATTTAGAGTAATTTTAAAATCTGCATCGATGAAAGCCACTTGACTGAATGTAGCAAGTAAAGTAACCACTAGCATTGGTTTGGACAAATAATGCCAATGTTGGTGATAAGAACAAAAATTTAAATCTAATCCTAATATTCCCAATACAATACAATTAAACCATCTGTCTGAAGGAGTCAGACCCCAAATAGCAAGCTTTTGAAGACCAATTAACAAAATGTAGCAAGGTTCCAGGTGTAGGAAAAGCGTAGCAAAGAGCCAGGCAGGTCATCTCTGAAGACATGGGTTGTCTTCAGAATGATTCCTTTCTCAAAAGGTCTTACCATTACACATCTCTAAGACAGGGAAAATTAAATAAATAAATAAATAAATGAAAACAAGTTCAGACTTTCCTCCAACATCTGAATTACTTGGACACTGAAATAAACACAATCAGAACTTGAACTGAACATGAGCTAGGGCAGTAACGTCCATCATAATTTGTGTCGTGGTAGGATCCACCTTTCTGACAAGGAACTGGGCTTCCTCCCCCGTCTCACATGTTAGATGGCCCCCAAACACTCAGAGGGGAAAACAAAACAAAATCCCTCACTGAACAGCAGTCTGGAGCAGGAAAAGGGCTTGACAGCATACACAGCTCAGATTTAAACCCAAGGCAGAATTTTTTTCCTTTCATGGAACTAAGAGTCTAAATATGACTAAAGATCATTTTAGGGATGTTTTCACTTGCTTGTAAATGCAACTATGCATAGATGAAAGAGTTATTCTTAGTCATCTTCTCTACGTCAAAAATAAACCCAGCAATTTCCAGAATGTGTCACAGTACAATATTAACTGGGTATCTGCAGTCACTGAACCAGTGGATACTTAAAAGCCTTAATTTAGAATATCTCTTTATTTTCTGGAAACAGGCTAGTGTATAGTGCTGGAATACCCCGAACTACTAATACCACTTCTGAAGGAGTCAATCTGGCAGCATAAACACCTCTAAAACTGGTTCTAGTGACAAGCACACCAAACAGCATGCCCTCCCTTAGCAGCCAGGGTGCCAGACACAGAGCAGAGGCTGCATTTTTCAAATTTATGGCAAGTACACAAGGACTCTTCAAACAGAAAGCTTGAAAAGGTGCATCAAAGAAACAATTTGCTCACATATGCTGTAAATGTATATTACACAAGTACACATGTATTATACATATATATGCGTGCCAGGCTGCCTGTACAGACACACAGAGTGACCCCTCAGCCTTCCTGTAGCTTACTCACCCTGGATGCAAGACACAAGCAAGCTGAGAAAACAGAAGTACCATACAGGAAGGCAGACCTCAATTTCAGTCACCTGACATTGGTATCATTTTTAAGGGAAACAAAATGCACCTTTCTCCTCAGAAGCAAAGCCTCTTCACTAGAAAGCTAGTTTTCCTGCTGACACCAGGGGAGTCAAACTGAGAGGAAGGACTCCTGAGGAACAGATACACGTTACCAAGGGCTCACAACAAATGTTACAGCCACATGGAAGAGTCCCAGTGGGAAATATATAGCATTTGAAAGTTTTCCCTTGAGTTTTCAAGATACTAATTATAAAATACCAGAGCAGTGAGACAGCTGGAGCAGATACAAGGTACGTGCTAAAAGAGGTGAAAGACTTAGAGCATATTCGCAGAGAAACCAGATAGCAACCACCTCTCATTTTATGGGTTTCTTACACTTAAATAAAAATAAAATAAAATAAAATAAATAAAATCTTTTCACACAACACCTACTTCTAGATCCTTCACAAAACCAAAGAAAATCTGAAAAACTCCTCACAAACAGCAGTGCAACCACCACCCAGCACTGAGCTGACCACACTGCTGTACAACTTTAGGGCAACAGTAAGGCAATGAAGAACAAAAAAAAAAAAAAAAAAAAAAAAAAAAAAAAAAAAAAAAGAATCAGTTTAAAACAAAGATGACTTCTCATTTCCAAACACTTAGCAAGCCAGTAAAGAACTTGCCCACTTTCACAGATAAACCAGAAGTCAGGCCACTTGCTGCCAGCCACATAGAAAGAGGAATTTTACTGCAGCATCCTTCAGTTTTCTACTGGAATTTCATTTCTCAGCTGCACATTATAAGCCACAATTTCAATACCTTCTTCACAATAATATGAAGATAAGAGCAGCAGCCAATATCAAGCAGCATTTTACAGCCTTCTTGCATCAGATATTAACTTGATAGGTTTATCTAATGTGGGGAATAATACATGTTTTGCTAAAAAGCAGGACTGAATAAAATGCACCAGTTGAATGTTACAGAACAGCCTGCCAGGATGCAGTCTTGCTGTGTGAAGAAATGAAGATGCAGGAAAAAGCCCTGAAATTTCTAAACCTGAGGCTTTAGGTGAAAAGAGGCTGTTACACCTGTGCGACACAAAGGTGCACACTCACAACACTCACAGGTGACATAACAGTTGATTCAGAGAATATAAATGTCCTGTGGCATGTGCTGCTGGTGACCCCAGCTCTGCATTACTTCCACTGCAGGCTCTGCTATCTGCCCAAGGGGGGAGGCAGCAGCGATAAGGAGGAGGTGGGGTAAGATTCCAGTCAGGGGAGTAAGTGGCTCATTACTACTCCAGGCAGCAAGTAAAATGGTTACAGAGATAAAAACACCACTTGTATTTTTAAAGACAACTTCTATTTTCAAACAGAGAATGGTAAATTTATTGTACTTTTTTTCAGATTTTAAAGTGAAACATGACAAAAAACAAGACTGAACATAAGATTTCATCTGGGTAAGACTCAGATCAAGGATATGTAGAGGGGGAAGTGAGTATAATTTCAATTCTCAAAGCTTTAACTAGCCTCATAATATGCGGGGGGCGGGGCGGACTTACACTATCTCCAGAGCCAGGAGAAAAAGTCTGCTGATACTTCAGTACAATTCTTTACAACTGAAGTTTCCATACGATCCGTTCCCTGGAAGTGATGAAAAATGCTGTGTTTAGTGAAATAGCCAGATTCTTCAAAGTAATCATACATGGACAAACACTTATACACAAGAGTGCTTGTGTAAATGAGAAGAGACATGAATTCCAGTTTGGTCGTTGGATGATCTGTTTTCCACCCACGTAATATGGACAGATTGTAATAAAAAAAGCAACCAACAAAGAATGGCGAAATGAGGGAAGCAAGATGCCCTCTTTTCTCCCACATGAAGGTACTTCGTGAACATCAATTAGATGTTAATGTCCCTGGGCGGCAAGTGTGACAAGCCCTATTAGGCCAGTTTGAAGATCAGGACACTGAGTCACACGGTGAGATTAAGAACTTCCTCAAAACCGACAGCAGAGCCAGAAAGGGGGCAACTACACCCCAGCTGGGCACTGCAGCAGGAGGCTGCTGTGCTCTGCATTATTACAAGACGTGGAGTCTTTAGAGAGAAAAGAAAAAAAGGGAAACGAAAAGAAAAAACCTGCTTATATGAAGTTTTCTGGCCATGTCGACGTGCCTCAGTTTTGACCTGCAGCGACCATCCTTAGATGCAAGAATGCAGTTCGGTTTCCACGCTCGGATCGCATTTTGGCTGAAAGTGCCAGCAAGGTTGCCAATTGTAAACGGTTTTTAAAATCGGCAGAGACCTCCAGATCTTTCCCGATAAGCTAGTTAAGGAGAGAACTGAAAGCTTTTTCACACCGGTTCAACCGTGTAAGCCTAGGGGCAAATAAATCTACACTCACCAGTCTTCAAACCAGCCCTTTGCCAGCTATCTGCATTTAAGTCACATGTTGAATTTGCACACACAAAAAAACGGAGCGAACACGACAATTACTCTCGTAGGCTAAGACATACTTCAAAGCCCAAAGAAAAGCCCAGCAGATGCCACGTCCAATTAGCCCGGAAGGTGAGCAGAGCAGGGTGTCACACTCATTAACGCGCTCATTAAGACGCGTCCAACCTAATGGCCCCCTTCGGTGTCGCAGGGCGCTCTCCCGGAGCGCTACCAGGGTCTCCCGACACCGAGGGCTCCCGCTCCTTTTCCTACCTCGCCCCAAACCCCCGCCCGGCCACGGCCACGGCCCCGGGCCGGCACCGCTGGGGGAGCGCCGCGGCCCCGCTCGGTGAGCACAGCGGCCCCGGCCCGCCCAACGCCGCCCTCGCCCACAGCCTCCGCCGAGGGACGGGGACGACCCCGACCCCGACCCCGGCCCCGGCCCCGGCCCCGGCCCCGGCCCCGGCCCCGGCCCCGGCCCCGGCCCCGGCCCCGGCCCCGGCCCCGGCCCCGCTCCTGCCGCACCTGCTCCGCCCGCAGCAACGCGACCCTACCGGCGGCGGCGGCGGCGGCGCTCCGCATGCTGCCCGCGGCTCGGCTCGGCTCGGCGCGGCGCGGCGCGGCTCGGGGCGGGGCCGGCGGCCGGGGCGGGCCGGGGCGGGCGGCCCGGCCGCCCCAGCCTCATGCGGGCCGCCCCGGGCGCCCGCGGGCTGGCAGCAAGGTGCGCGGCCCCGCCGAGCGGCTCTTCGCTGCGCCCCCTCGCGGCCCGGGGGCGCCGCGGAGGGTCCCGGCGGTGCTCCCCGAAGCCCCCCCGGCGGCACTGCCCCCCTTCAGCGGCCCGTCCGTCACCGCGTCTGTCACGGAGCGAAACGGGCAACGCGGACACGGCTGCGGCTGGCTTAGGTGGGGTACATGGGGAAGCTGACGGTTGTCGTGTGCGCGGAAAGGTTGGGGCGGCGGGGAAGTAGAAGGCTACCGAGAAGAAAGTTCAAGAGCGGCAACAGAACTGTGCTCGCACTGGGCTGCTTGGCTTCCATCTGCAACAACGCCTCGCTGATGGTGGAGGCGAGGTTTTACAGAAAAGAAAACACAAACAAGTAGTACTCGCTTCAACTGCTGCAACAGGAGGATAAAATGCTCTGTGGCCAAAGCATCTACTATCTACGTATCTACCATCCTAACACTTTTTAAAAACGTCAGCAGGCCTACCATTTATTTAAAGTGACTGAAAACAGTCAAATATTTTGACATCTGCCACACGCACTATACCTTAAGTGACCTTGAAGAAGCCTGTGGGAGCAGAACCCTTGTTTCCCATGCCATGAGCTACCTGACCTTTTTCACACTTGCCTGCTCTGAGCCAAATTTAAAGCTGCTTTGGAGAGAAAGCAAGTGTGAATGCAGCCCTACTTATCCACACGCAGCTGAATGTAACACAGTCTCTGAGGAGCCAAGCATTTCACCACCTCTGAAATAATATGTCAATGTCAACAACAATAATGTGTCAACAATTGTCCACATTTAATTGCGGACAATACCTCTCATTTGGGTTGAAATTTGTTTTCTAGCTTCTTGGGTCTTGCTTAGCTGAACCTAACTTTTATTTGGTCATTAACTTTTGAATTGCAGTATGTTTATCTGCTTGCTTAACTTTGGGAGAGTAACAGTACTTTTTCCTCAAAGTGATAAAAGCTAGAAAAAAAAAAAAAAAAAGGCGCATATCATCTTCCTACTGTCAAAAAGATAATGCAGGCCTTGAGGAACACAAGAATGAGAAAACTCTCTTAGCAAAAGTAATCTGGAGTTAGCAAAGGGGCAAGTGCATAGTAAAGAAATATCAATGTGACTTGAACAAAGTCTTACTCGTTTCAGTCCAGCATTAAAAGTCCCATGAAAGCAAGATTCTTCCACAGATGGCCCAGAAAATACAAACACAAAATTAATTGAACCTTTCCTGGGAAATATTCTCAAACTTCCTCCTTTAGGAAAGATGCTTACAGCTTTACCAGGTGTCCTCTTCCCTTCACTCCTCTCAGAAAAAGTTATTAAGTCTCTAAAAAGAACCCTCTCCTGCCAAATCCTTCTAGAATTTTAAAGCACTCCCCATAAAAAGGGAGGCGTGTCAAGGGCTGCAGAAGGACCACCAGGGACCTTGCTATTCTAATGACTCCGATTAGAATGTTTACTGATTGTCCCTAAATACATGACCTTTGCAAATGGTCAGAAGATAAATGTATATTTCACACTCTCTAATCTTAATTCTTATCATAACCATCTTTTAAAATTATGTCTCATTAGATGTTACTTAACCGGAATTAAGAAATTCTTTATCACAGTCACACCTATCTCTTTCCAAAGGAAAACACGGCTTAGACACGATCTAATCTCTCTGGTGTAAAGTGAATACACTTCACTAAAGATTATTTTGATAAATACTAATCAAGAACTACAAATTTGGCATTACATGTAGTTCTGTTGGCTACTGTAGCCCACCCTCCCTTACGTCAAGTGTGGGACACAACCATGAAATAAAACAGTGACTTCCCTCAGTGCTGCAAAGCTTCCTCTTCCATAACCCATTATTTTTGACAGTGCCACTGCTTGTAATTTATTTATTTATTTTGTCAGTCTTAGGCTGTTCTCCCCCTTTTAAAGGACTTGAGAAAGGAATAAGAATAGACCTTATGAAAAATAGTCCAGCCCTAAGAACTCGCATAAAGTCACGCCTGTAACGCTGCTGTAGGGTGTTCATCCCCTCACTGTGGCTGACAATACAAAGCACTCTCCTTCCTGACATGTGCAAGCCTGTTTATTCAAATTTTGGTAAACCTAATACTATCCACAAATCCAGCACAATAAAAGACCTTCTTATGGTATTTAAATGATCTGTCTGATCTTTTCTTATTAATTGTGGATATCTTCAAAGTTAACTCGACTTTTTTATACAAGAGATACTCTGGTTGTTAGTGCTGCAGCCTGGGTCTCAGGAGAACAGGCTAGACTCCCTCCTCCACCACTCACTTCCTTTATGCCTTTGGGCAAGTCATACATATATTGAATGTATTGTTTTATGATCTATAGGGTGAATTAAGTAAATCTGCTCTTCCTCATGGGGTCTTATGAGGGTGAAATCTTTGTATGAAGGTAAGAACCTTGGCACTGTACTACATCACATGATAGGCCACAGGTATTTTCTTGCTTATGGTTTGAAGTTTGTCATCATATTAATGTCTGCTGACAATCAGTTAAATACAATTTTGTTATTCCTTTTAATGAGCAATACGCCATTAGAGAGGTTCTTTTAAAGGAATTTTGCTTTATAAATTGTGGGAAAGAAAATAAATCAAAGGAAAGGAAGCTGATTTCTTGATGTGGGAGCATGTAATTTTCCAGGAGGCTGGAATAGCTGGACTTTCTTACCACATGTTCAGGAAATATCCCTTCCTACCTGATCCTGAATGTGTCAGATAATACCCTTGGCATATAACGGAATTACTCTAGTGTGAGACACCTTATAAAAAATATTTCTGTTCAAGTTTCTAAACACATTAACGAATTTATATATGTCTGCTGAGGAACAGTTCAAAACATTTTGGTTCTCTGGTAAACAACAAATATTTGTTTCTTGATTAAAGAAAACAGAGAAGTATCAACAAAACACACCTACCTTAGAGAAAATATAGTGATCTTTGATAAAGATTTGGGGGAATATGAAAACAAGCAAACAAAAATATAGAAGGCCTGAGTGTTTGGCACACACCCACATGAAAGTAGTTCCTAGAATGTGACTGTCAGTGAATAAAAGGAATCTCTGTAAACACACGTTTAACCATTCTGTATGTCATCAGCAAGTACCTGAGATTATTTCTTGTCTGTGGAAAATCTGTCAGAGACAAAGATCACTTTCTGGATGCTTTGATGCTAGCATATTAAATCTTAACAGATACTTTATTTTTTAATTAAATGTTATTTATGTTTTGTGGGTGTTACTGAACAATGTCTTCCCTGAGTGTCATTAATGGAAGAAAGAAAAAGTGTGAACTGGTGAGGACCATCGTGTTAAGTCTGAGTACAGAGATAGTCTGTGGTGATATTTCTGGGAACTTTAATGTTTATCAGACAACTGAACTCAAGGATGAAACTACATTTCTAATTGTCATGCTTCCAGTTTCACGGACAAGATTCTCATTCTTCATTTTTTAATTAAACACTTCTAGTTAGTCTGTCCTATGGTAAGTGTTTCTTTAATGAGTATGAGTTCATCTTTGTGAGCATACCCATGTTAGAATTTTAATGGTGAATCTTTTTTTTCTCATTCTCAGGGAAAGAGGTACTTTCTTTGGTAATTCCAGAATGTACTTCAGGAGTTTCTAGAGACTGATCATTTACTGTGTTGCATTATGCTATATTAGAGAAGAGATGAACTCACTTCTCATGCTTAGCCAGGGAGGAATGGCTAGGAAGAAGATCTGTTCGTTTTTTAAAATTATCTTATGCAAATGTTTTTAACTCACTCTATGGAGATAAAAGAAAACAATCGGCAAATGTTGGCGATCAGTTTTATCTGTTGTATGTTATTGTCTGTTTTGACAGAATAAAATAAATAAATTATATGCATTCAAAACTTCTTTGTTTAAAAAATAAAGTTGCTAAGAAACAAGAGTCATGCATCATTAAAGCTCTTTACAAGTAGCATTTATATAATAACATGAAACTTAGCCATGGTGCACTTGGAGACTGCTAAAGTGCAACCAAAAAGCAGATCTGTGAACTGTGTATACACAAAAGAGACTCCTGTTTTAAGGTTTTGAGTTATACATCTCTAATCACTACTTCAACCTTGGGAAAATTATCCTTGAAAGACTGAACTTCTCGTGTTTCTCCATAAAAAATAAAACAGTGCTCTCAAACTGCTACTCAGGAATATGTTCTTGAAAGTTTAATTGCTGTTTAACTACCCAGTGCAACTTTTGTTTTTCTATTTTATATCCAGCTACAGCAGCACTGATAGTTTCTCTTTCTTATCTGATCACAGCAAAAATCCAGCTTATTCTCCTTTCCATGTTTTCGTCTCCAGTTTCTTAAACAGGGCCTAAAGTCCTTTACCTCTTTAATATTAAGCTTGAAGAACCTAATTATCACTTCTGGCCCCTTTCCAGCACTGTCAGGCTTCCATAAACCTATACAGAACAGCTGTGCTTTACACAATGCCTCTGCTCCCAGAGGAGCTCAGCATTGCCATGTGGCCACAAGCCACGTGCAAACATCAGTGCTACCAAAACCCATATGTCAAATTCCAAGTGCCTCAGGAAGACATAACCTCCTTCAGCACTGCTTACAAGAGGGATGGAAGACAAATTCTACAGTCCATGTGGTAGAGCAAGAGAAGTTCTACAGCAAGCATTTGACACATGGAGACTACATGTGAAATAAGGCCATGGTCGTTCTTCTTTCTGCCATAAGCTTTGGAGATTTCAAAGATGTTGCAGGTAATTCAACCCCTACTGTTGCCTCCCCATGAGATAACAGACTCTGCAGTGCC